GGCAGGGCGGTTTTATTCCTGTCTTAAGTGCCCACTATCCGCTCCCCATAGGGAGTAATTATGTCCTCTCGGTCTTGTCAACGTGGTGGTACGGCGATTGAATCTGACAATGTCAGGATTTTAATGCCCGAAAATGAAAATATAAAGAAAAGAAAAGAAAATAAGGCTGTTTGTAGTTTAGTGGACGGAGTTCTTCATCGTCCCTTTATTATCCAACTGCGCTAAACTAGGATACTTAAAGGAGCGTTTTCAGTACAAATCTCCTTGCAGGCCGGTGAAAATTCTCAGAATGCTACACACCAAAACGTCTTTAAATATATATATATATATATATTTTTTTTTTTATTGTACCAACTGTTTCAAACATTGCTCGTTTGGTATTTGGAGTTATGGAAGTTTGGCCTTAAAAATTCAAGTACCAAAACTCCATACAACCCCAGGCAAGTTTATAATCTCTTGCCCCAAAGCATGACCAAGTCTCTTGTTTATCTACTGTACAGATGGAAGTACGTAACCTGGCCATTGTGTTTGGCCCAACCATCATAAGGACTGGGGACGACTCCATGATGGCCATGGTGAAAGACATGTCGGACCAGTGTCGCATAGTTGAAACACTTATATCCGAGGTAGGTTTAGTAGCGAGTCGTTAAATCTTTTATGTGGTTCTAACTTTATCGCGGTTCAAGTTTAATTTGTACTAAAACTTGCAAACTTTGTTTCAGTGCGATTGGTTTTTTGAGGAGTCTGAAGGTGACGAATGTCCAGTGAAGGTATTATTCAATTATTTTTTCCCATCTTTTGAGTTTCTTCTTTTAATTGTGGTTTTTGTCAGTTCCTCTGTTGAAAGGGGACTCAAGCGAATCTGAATTGCTTTGTGAATCTTATAAGTTAAGCATTGTACTTCTGCGCATGTGTTGGACGGGTTAAATGGGCACTAGCAAAGGTAGGTTGATCCACACACCATACCCAGATCCAAAAAAATGTCAACAAGCACAACTTGATCCTTATTTCAGGTCCAGTTGATCTTTCTTCTAATATTTGTTTATCTGACTTGGCAATCGCCATCAAATTATTCGAGTTGAGGCCGTTCCCTAATGTTTTGTTCGTCTTTTTTCAGAGCATTTTTTAGTTGACGTAAATAATCCCAGATTGTATTGGTTTTGCCCTTCTTCTTTCAGTGATTGGTCCTGAATACTCGTGCCACGGTCTCAACCAATCACGATGTAAAACTAAAACCAATCACGACTTGGTCACCCGTGTTTTCCCGCGCTTTATGCAGTTTGCTTGTTTTTATTTTGAGTTCTGATTGGCTCATTAAAGGTATTTTCCTTTCTTATGATTGGTCGCTATGATAACTTCGGTTTTCGTTTTACAACACTAAATCGAAAAGCGCTCTAAACTTGGCGTTTTCCCGCCTTTTACTAACGGCGCTGTGTGTTAAACCACGGTTATGTAAAACTTAGACTGATTGTAATTGAGTTTTTTATATTGAATTTTTCCTGATAGGCCCTCCCACCAGGCCAAGAAACCCTTCAAGAACATATCCTGTCTCAAAATGTATTGAGTTCTTTAGGACAAGTTGCTGTAAATTTCGGTGAGTTCACAGTTATTTACCTTTTTGTCGAACAAGGGAAACCATACAAACCTGAGGTTAACCAAAATAGCGAATATCTTGTCGAATCGAATAGCAGTTGGCGAGAACAACAGATTTTTCCTTTGTGACAACCAGATCTAAAACTGTAATACCGTTGTTTAACCTTCATGTGGCACAAAGTGTAATAACACTCCAGATCCACACCCATGGCAAGGGTTACAACTGCTTGCAATACGGTCAATTAGGAGATAGAATATCCTTGCAAACCACGTAACTGAAATGGATTCTGTGTCTGTGTACTCATGTTTGTTTCGCGAGGTTTCCAATAACGTTCGCATATTTCATGTATTGTTTCCACAAGATTAGGAAATATAGCAAGGAGGAGTTAAACTAGAGAGCATATTTACCAGGCTGTTACCTTAATTATTAATTGATTATTAATTTTTTATTATCTTTCCACATTAGGAGATGATGGGTCATATAAACCGAAGGTGAGCGTTTTTTGTTTTGTTTTGTTTCGTACTGTTTTGTTCCTCCTTTTCATTCGATATGTCAGTTCTGACTTAGAGAGTTTCAGATGTCTTCTCAGCTAATATGGTTTTTTTCCAGCCACTTTCGTGTAAATCGTGAACAGTTACGATTGTTGATCGGACGTATGAAATAAAATGTTGATATAAGGGTTCCTAAAGACTAAATCAGGGATAGTGGGTCACAATCAATCAATCAATCAATCAATCAATTTATTTAACGTGGTCAGAACGCTTAGCTAAAAGCTAGTTTACAAGTACGCCACGAAATAAATAGAGAAAAGGAAATTATAAAGCCTTGTGAAGGTATATAAATTTAAATAAATTAAGAATTAAGAACTAGCTAATATTAAAATATAAGAATTTAATAATGTAGTCACCGAGTTGAATATATAAAATATAAAATGTAATCATTAAAAACAGGAAATATAATTAAAGATAGATCCTCACCGCGCTAGAGTCCTGTGAGATCTGTTTTAAAGTAATTTTTAAAACTAGTAAATGTTTGTATCTTTCGAGACTCGTCCGGTAAAGCGTTCCATAGTTTCGATGCAGCATATCTCCATGATCAAGGCACTTAATTTGTGCCTTAACCATTTCTTATACTCACTGTTGGTTTTACAGTCCAGCGGAATATCTCTTCATATCCCAAAGTTCCGAAGTGGTAAAAGTTCAAAGTCCGACTCGGGTCAGGGCAGCTCCTCTGATGGACCGCTGTCCGATTCTCAGGGATCCGAGGGTTCGCCTCCTCTTGAGAGATCTCCAGTGGTGAGAGTTCTGTCAGGTGACGGGTCGAGATCTAACTCTCCTACCATGGAACGATCAACAAGATTCAGCGGCAAGAGGAGCACAGAGAGCGCCCCAGGCTCTCTCCAGTTGGTGTTAGAACCCCCAGACGCAGAGTTTAGAGCTAAAGGACCAGGTTCCCTCAAGGCTTATTCATACGCAATGCCACCCCCTCCGTCATATCGACGTGTTAGCTCCCAGAAAAGATCGAGCAGTCCTGGGTCACCTGAGCAGCCGCTTGCACCTTTTGATGTCACTTTTGCCATGGTGCAGGATACAGAGACGAAGAAGTCACCTGACGAACCACCCAGTGACCAGGACAACACTCCCAAGCCGAGCTTCTCTTCCTTCAGTGAAGAGACGCGCCGGAGGCTGCTGAGGCTTAACCTTCAAAAGAAAGCCGCGGAGAAGAGGCGACAGAGTGAAGACAGGGGAGTGACATCCCCGACGTCACCGCATAGTGAAAGGAGCGTGGATGTACCGCGTGAGCGGAAGATGTCGGATCAGGGCGTGTTTGAGAGTACTGATCAGCCGAGTAGTAGCAGCACTAGCCGCAGTAGCAGTACGCACAGCAGCAAGAACCCGTCGCTAGATTCGCTTCATGTTACGGTTCAACCTTACCAGGATAAAATGGCTGGTGTAACTGTTCACAGCGAAGCAGCGCGTATAAACAATAGCGTGAAGGCAATGCCTTTTCCAAACGAGGTGGTCCATCACGAGCCATCGCCAAGATCCGACGAAACCGTGGTGGCTGTTGTGAAAGGGAGAGGAGTAGTGTCTGGGACACTGAGGCAGTTGGAAACGTCTAGGAGGCCAGCTAGTCTGGATCTCAAGACAAAACGAGACAGCTCGGAAGAGCACCGCCTGGCCAGAAGATCCTTGGGTTCTGAAGAGAGCAGTGATACCTCCAGCGACGAAGGAAACGAATGCGCCATCAGTATGTCCAGGACATTTGACGAAAAGCTACGGATTTTACTGGATTTGGAGAACACATATGGAAATAAGGAAAGCAGAGTTGAGTCACAAAACGATGGGGATAGATCTTCTGTGAGAGGCGAACCTCTAAAGAGACCAATCCCGAGTGGCGTAGATATGGCACAACGGCGATCATCCGTTGAACCAGGCAGAATCTACAAAATTGTTGGAGTGAGCCCCTCAACTGATTCTCAAGGAGAAATGTCCAGCGCATCAAATTCTGAAACAACAACAACTCCAAGGAAGGCAGAAAATCCAGTAAGAGAGCGGAAATCAAACAGTGTAATAGAAATAAACACTAGTAAATATTTTACGGTCCCTTCATCTGACGATCGGCCGAAGTCGCAGCCTTCCTCCCCACCGAGGAGGGTCAGCGTTGAAAGCACACCCGAGGTTTCTTCCAGAAAGGTGGGTACGTTACGGCAGAGATTTGAGAGCACCTCAAGTAGACTGTCTGACAACACGACACCTCGGAGTAGTAGCCAAAATAGGGGGAGAGATTTCCCATCTTCCTTTGCTGCTCGGAGAAAAATCGGATCCGTTCATACAACGACTCCGGTTTCGTTGAAAGAGTTTAACGTCAAACCAAGTGTTACGAAGACTCCAGGGGGTCAGCCTGTTCAAGTGGCAGGGAGCTCGCGGGGCATGAAACGAGAAACAGCACAGAGACCACCAGAGAGCCGAACGGTGAGCTCAAGGAATATTCGGCTTGAGTCCAGCCCAGCAAAACACTTATCCACATCACCAGCTAGATTCAGCTCTGGAAGAACTGATAGAGGCCTCGACTGGAATGTGCCACGGTCAAGAATGAATGTTTCTTTAGTCAACGACAGGTCAAAAGGGCAGCCAGTCGTAACTAAAACACAGGCAGCGCCCAGAGTAGTGAGTAGAGAGTATGGAACCAAATCTAAACTCTTATCTCACAAAGACTCTGCTAAAGAGCTACTGCCTTCTAAAGCTAGGATACCGTCAAGGGACGCAAGAGGCTCTCAGACCCAGCGTAAGCTGGAGAAGGACGCACAACACATCGCTGAGTTACTGGAGGAGATGCACAGCGAGCGACATTTGCACTTGTCTCGTCAGCAGTCAGACATTTCAGGACAGGCGCAGAAAGCCGCTGCCCAGCGTGCTGCTTTCCGCAGCCGCAGGCGTTCATTGGGAGATGATAACAACCCCAGTCTTGTACAACAGAGGCCGACCTCACCTGGGCAAGAAAAGGAAAGTTTGCCTGTTTATAAAGGAAGGGAAGTAAGCCAAGGAAACTACCGCGCATGGCCTCGCGAAGTTGACTCAAGACCAGATAGCCCGCAGCGTGGAAGCCGTGGTGTTTATACCGTCACGAGCTGACGTCTGCATCGTTACATAACATATTAGTGATGGAAATAGTTCAGCTGACCCAAATTGCTGGCTTGTACGACCTCGAGCCACTTTGATTCCAACCTTTTACCCCTTTGGCTTTTTGATCCTTTCTTTAACTGTTTTTAACTAAAATATTTCATTGTTCTTTTTTTTCTTTTTTTCATAAGCACGTAGAAAAAAATATTTATATATAAATATGTATCTTTGTATTTTTAAGAAATCTTAATCATTGTCACGCAATATCTCTGTATTATTGTAATCAAATTATTTTAGCAAATAGAAAGAATGCTGCTTTTTAAACCCCTTTTTGATCTTTTGAAGCTGTTGTAAGCTTCAGTGAGCAGCGGAAAATGCTTGGAGACCTGTAAAAATTGATTTCTACTTTCCATTTGTCATGTTATAACAAAAACAAAAAGAATGCATTGCGAGATTGAAGGCATATTTTAACTTCTAGGGCCATGTTCCCTTCTAGGAATAGTGAAAGTAAGTTATTGGTAATATATATTTCCTTCAGTATCAAGGGAAAAGTACTCTGATTGTAAACAGAGGGTCAAATTTTAATGGTTTTGTTGTACAGAAAAAAATTTGCAGCTAGGTCAGTGGTGACGCTTTGGTTGCGCATTTTGTTATCTTGTTGATGGTACGACGTCACTCGCTGTGCTTATAAGTCTGCTCACAGACCTTTATGTTATAAAACTTTTGTTTTTTTCGTGGAAAAATTTTTAATTATTACTTCATCTTCCATTTCTTCATATGTAAGATAAAGTTATTTTTTCGACGAAGTGCTATTCTGAAAAATTGAGTCGCCCAACGTTTTTTATAAAAAATTAATTCATTTAATAAAAGTTTACAAGACTGCAAATTATTAAAAGTAAGAGCCTCATTCTTTGTTAACCCTTTTTTACTCCCATGAGTGACCAAGACAGAATTTCACCTCACAATATCAATTCAATATCAAACAGACAAGTAATGAGAATCAAGAAAATTATCAACTGAATGTAGTTGATCTAGTACTAAATTCTCCAAACCTACATCATAAAAATTGTGTGATAGACAGTAAGGAGAATTTCTAATCAGATCATGGGAGTGAATGGGTTACGACTTAAAAGATTTCTATTTTTAAATCATTTTTATATCTTACCTGTGCGAAAAAAGGCTTCTATAAATTTCAATGTTCCACTTGCAAGCGCGTAGCCTTGTAAGGTTTGTATAGTTTGTTATCAAGGGTGTATTCTTATATCAATATATAGAAGTATTTCTGCCTTAGTGTGAAAAGTTATGTGGACAATTGAGGCTGCGCGATAATTGTGGTAATTAATGTTAATTTTCGTTTCGGATAACTGAATGGAGTAAGTATCGACATGGTATCGAGGAAGTCGTGATGACAAGTCAATTTTTTCGTTCAAATGTGTCCTACAGCTTTACCAACAAACCGTGAGTGGTACTGCTAAAATTTGTTGTAGAAAATTTTTTGCACCTCTGTTCCTGAACTTTTTAACTTTTTTAAACTGTTTTGTTCACATTTGTTTGAGGAATTTATGGTTAGGAGGCATCTAAATCCTCGAAGCCTCCAAGTGGAGTATTTTTCAAATCCGCACACCATCACTCGTGGAATGTAACAGAATCGTCTTTCAATAATCACTACTAGGCTTCAAATTGTCGTGGAAATGGACTTGTCTTCACGATTTACTTTAGTATTTTCCCTATCCTAAATGCAATTGTAGATTGCGGGCGAATTGAATGACTGTTTAATACTGTAAGTTATTTACAGCGAATTGATTAAAAATCAAATGTATTGTGAGTATATTAACAAGTGTAATTGTGCATTTCTCGAAAGCTTTTCCAGCAGCTTAGATTTTATTTTCCTCAAAGCTTTTCTTCTCTCCAACCTCCCCGCAAGTCGGTATTAGCCTTTATTATGCAACTGGCTATGCCCGTGGGCAACGTGAAGCGAATCCTGTCTTCTGATCGGCAACTCGAGAATCTTGCCTGCTCGGGATTACCCGCTTTGATGCCTCGAAAGGAAAACATTGCGTGGAGCGGACTTAGAAAGTTCGCAATTTTTGGACCGTGTCGGCGATGTAGTCGGAAAAGACGAGAGAAGACAATCAAACAAAGAAAACGTAAACGACTCTTGAGGGTTTATTGTGCAAAAGGCACAGTTAACTTTCTTTCCCGGCTCTCCAAATATAAACAAGTCATTCTTTATTCCTAATAAAACGAAATATTCCTGCTATATATATAATCAATCCTTTATTAACCAAGCTTGTTCAGTCAAGACGACTGGATATTAGCGTTGTTCTTTCTTTGCGTCAGTTAGGGACCTCGACTTCGTTTCGGTCTGTAATTATAAAATCGCAAAAAAGAACTCCCAACAATATCCAGCCACCTTGACTGAACAAGCTCGGCCATAACGTATATGAAATGCAAGCGTCTTATGGGGGCCAGTTAACGTTAACAAGCTCGCAATCGTTTATTCAACCGGCCGTGTTTGACTTAGAATTAAATTGGACGGTGTGGAGTGGGGGCGGGAAAGGCGAGGAAATTTCTATTGCACCACCTTCTCCCCTCTCATTCTTTTTGGCCATCACTCGCCCCATTGTTAAAACTTTCTTTCTCTCCTGAGCTTTCCGCTGCTGGCAAAATTTAAGATGGCGGCTATATTTTCACTAGGCATGGAATTAATAAGCGTTTGTTCGCCAAAATACACCCGTCCTGCAAGCCATGTCAGTCCGTCCATGTTTTCTCTCCTTATGTCCCTTGTCTCCCTTATCCCTTGACTTCTTATTTTTCCCTCTTCCCTTCATTTTTCGCTCGTTCGTGCAAACTTGCTGCCTAGAAAAGGTTACGACTTCGTCTATTTGTATAAACCGTGTGACGATAGGTTTTCGCGCATAAACAGACTTCTCGCGGAGATCGCAACAACAACGGGGGAAAACAGCTCGGTGGCCGCGAGACAATTCGGCAGCGGGAACCGGAAACTCGTCACGATTTCCTAGTACACGGAGATCTACTTCAAGCGAACTTGTACGGATGTCAAGGAGAAGACCGACAGCTTTTGGTTCCACAATAGTTTATTTCTAATTCATGCCAATAAGCGACATGAACAGTAACGTTCTACTGTGACACGAAGGCGCACCATATAAGGAAGTCTTCCCTGGGAAGACCTATGCTCATTTGTCACTCATCGTTGACGTGCACGGGTCAAATTTAAAATGGCGGGCGATTTGAATACTCGAAAGGTAAGGTATACGAGAATTCTTGTGCCTTTCCTGTCTTTACTTCCCCTAGATTTGAAATATCTTTATCTGACGCCAAGTAGTACTTCACGGATTAGAATTTTATTAGACGAAGGTTTAATCGAGGAGCTGACCGGTTGGCTTACCGTGAACAACGAGGAGATCGTTCGAGTAGAGAAGCCACGAAAGAAAAATTGAACGCCAGGTAATTTGCTTCCGGCCGAACGTAAGGCGCTGGGAGCCTTGAAACGTGACTCTGAGTTAAACCTCAGAAAGGCCGACAAAGGAACAGCAACCGTAGTCATGAACAAACGCGACAAAATTTTAGAAGGCCAAACTCTACTAGATAACAAAGATAACTACAGGCCTCTTGCATCACCCATGGTCAAAGAGACGGACTATAAGGTCAGATGACTTATTGCAGACCTCTACAATGGCAGTCATATAGACGACATGACTAAAAAATGGCTTTTTCAAACCCCAAATCCGCCTCGAATTCCAGAATTCTACACCCTAACAAAAATACACAAACCTTCCCCCGTCGGCAGACCGATAGTAGGGAACTTAAGCAGTCACGACGGCAACGCCACGGAAGACGTCGATTAAAAAATGAGCTTCTACTTTTAGTTAGAATTTCGAAAATGGCTGCATGTGTTTACCGTCTCATAGGGCGCCAGACCTTAAACTCAACATAACGCATAAAAGTGGCATTGAGTTCCAAATGTAAATTAAAATAATTTGCCGCCGCCGTTTCGGTTCGCAGACGAACCAAATTTTGGGGATTTCACATTGTTGTTTTGCAAAGGACGGCTGAGAAATGTACAAAGTTTTAAAACGCACATGCTGGGCTATTGTTCTGCCAATTAGATCTATTGTTTTTCCACGTTCTCGTTGCCGTCGCCGTCGTGGTTTGCTTAAATTCCCTAGTGTCAGGGTGTGATGGCCTTACAGAGAAACCTATCATCATTTGTCGACAAACTCCTTCAGCCGATAGCACAAAAACAAAAGTCGCATCTTAAGGATACTACAGACTTCGTCAATTTCATACGAAAGTCCCGGAGAACGTAAAAGTTGTTTCGATGGACGTTATGAGCTTATATACAAATGTACCAGAAGAGGAAGGAATAGACACTGTATGCAAAGCATACGAAATATACTACAGAAACGGAACTCCTATCCCTACACAACTACTAAAACAAGCGCTTAGTCTAATTCTCCAAGAAAATTCTTTCCATTTTGATGGAAAACACTACCTTCAAACACATGGTACGACCATGGGCACGAAAATGGCAGTCGCCTTTTCTAATATTTTCACCAACAAGGCAGAGAGAGAAATCCTTGACAAAAGCCTTTTCAAACGGCTTGTTTGGAAACGTTACATAGACGACATCTTCTCGCTATGGAGCCCAAACAAAGCAACAATAGAACGTTTCATTGAAAAAGCAAACAACCATCGTCCAACAATAAAATTTATGGCTGAAATTTCTGATAAGGAATCAAACAACATTCCTGGACACGGCTACAAAGGCGAACGATTCGAAAAGGACGCAATTCATTTTAGTATACACACTATAGTTCCTGTCACCCACAAGGAGTTAAGAAAGGCTTCATAAAAGGGGAGGCCCTTAGACTTCTCAGAACAAACTCCTCTCAAACGATATTCCAGGAGAAAATTGCAAATTTTAAAGCGCATTTGTTGAAGAGAGGCTATCCAGAGGACCTCATTAACACAACCCTCTCAGAGGTGAATTTCAAAAACAGGAAATTAGCTCTTCAACAGAAACCGAAGACGAGCCAACGAATCTTGCCTTTTGTTACACAATACCAACCATCAGTGCCACACAGAAAGCAAATTCTCATGAAAAACTGGCATTTAATAGAAACACAACCACTACTGAGCGAACTATACAAAATCCGCCGCTCGTATTTTACAAAAGAGGGCGGTCGCTCAAAGACACTCGTGAGGGCTAAACTTTGAATAGGCTACTCTAAACACGCGCTAGGGAGTCGTGTAGGCCTGTCAACCCCATCTAACACTGTAATCGCAGGATGTAGTCGCGGGATCATACTTACTATCGAACTTACTATCGAACGCGTGCTTCTATTGTTCTCTAAATTTACAATATTTGAATAAGGACACAAAGGGGCGGAACAAGTCTCCGAAGTAAAACGATTCATGCTTAAATATTCCATATGTTTCTATGGCGGAAAGAATGTCAAAATTAAGAAAGCAGATACAATAAACTATAGGCCTTTAACAAGAACAAACTTGAATGAGAATTCGCAGCGCTAACGTTATAAATATGCCTTCTTAATTACGGTCGAGCAGCTTAGGAAATAAGAGTGAGAGGTAATTTCAAATTTCTGCTTATCAGCGAGATGTTTGTGTTAAGTTTAGTATAAACGGCAAAGTACGAGCAAAAATTCAGCTGCCAACCATCATGAGAACCAATTTTGCAGAAATTAAAGGTCATTAACATTTCTATTAACCTAAAATTTAACTAGTAATGAACAACAAAAGTACCGACATGTAGGTGTACAAAAAAGGGCAAGAAACAATTTAAAATCTTTAAGTTGATTCCTTTTAAAAACTACTGTGGCCTTTGCTATATTTTTTTAAATCACTAAAACGAAAGAACTCGAATGAACTTGAATAAAACCGGAAATGATTTAATCTGAAAAGTTACGAATAGATATGTCCCAAAACAAACACACGGAAAGAGGACTAAATTTTCCCTAACGCATGTCAGTCCTTCGTTCTCTCTTCTTAGTGTCCTCTTCGTTTCTTCCGTTTGCCCTCTTCCCTTCCTTTTTACGCTCGTTCTTGCAAACTTGCTGCTTTGAACAGATTACGGCCTCGCCTGCTTGCAGAAGCCATGACTTGACATTTACACCTTGTTTGTGCGAGTTTCCCAGCAAAATGCACCATCTCATGAACGTTGGGAAAGGATCGAGATGGGACTTCCCCTCTACATGAGGGCGTTGTCTCCTTCACTTAAAAAAACGCCACGAATTGTCAAAAGGTAAGCGACTCATGCATTTGAGAACCTTAATACCATATTTTCGCCTATTTTTGACTTAATCTTGATTCCACGCCCATTTCCTAGATAGGAAATAGGCAAATACCGGCTCCAATGTCACCTCTTGGTTTCCTGAGTTGAAGTATGTTCGAGTTGAACTCCAACACCACCACCACCCTTCCCATGGTTGCGAAGAATTTTCACACTTCCCAGCACAATCGATATGTTCTTCGGAGTTGATGCCAACCAAGAGAAATGCAGTGGTTTACCTTAAAACGTGTTTACTCGGCACTAAAAAAATCAAATACATCCTCTTTAGTAGGGGAAATAAATTTATGAAACAGCAGGGGAAAGCCGCTTATAGGGTAATCCTGCCAAAGTTCGCAATAGGATCTAATAAATGTGTTTACAGAGCAGTGTGCTCTGTGGAACTCAGAAATAAATATAATAGCTATTTCATGATTTATCTTTTAGTTTCAAAAAGATTGATTAGTAAGAAGGAAAGCAGTTTGTCTAGGATGAACCCTGATACTTTCTGGAAATATAGCTCG